GCCATTCTTGCCAGGTTACTTCATTAAATATTGAATTAATTCAATATTAATTGTTTATTTCAGCCATTCTTGCCAAGTTACTTCATTTAATGATGAATGCATTATTTAATTAATTGGTTTATTTCAGAGCGGGAAAACCAAGCAATCTTTTGTAAAACATTGTTATGAATGAGTTGTTTTCTTAATATTTCGGTAATGTAAGAATTCTGAAGTTAATTGAAAGTATTTATGTAATTGACAGTCTACTGTTAAAAGCATATTTCAAATCAAAAATGGCGTCGATTGATGGTTATGTCACAAAATTGTTCTTTTCTCAGACTCAAGTTTCAAAAGTAAAAACGAGCGCGTTTTAATTTCTCAATAACTTTAGATCAATCACAAGAAGACGCCTTATATTTGTTTCTTTTATTGACTGCAAAAAGTTATTAAATATCACAACACTAACAACACACATGCACTTCACACCTCTGATAGATCATCAACACTGAAGTTCTTCTTTCGTAAAGGGTAACATTTTCCTCCAAATAAAGCACGTGCAGTTGTCGTACGTACGCTGTTGTCGTCTTGTATTATTAGTTATTACGTATATGAAAATGATGTAGAATTCACACAAGTATACATATTGTTTTATTTGATTAATCAAAATAAAATTCTTTTAGTTTCCACCGTTGAATATAAACGTTTGATTTAACTGCGCTAATTCGAAAAGTAATTTTTTTAGAATTCTGGTATACCACTGCCAAAAATACACGCTTCAAGACTACAAGTGAAATATGTATAATTAATATATAATATATCTAGTATTTGGGTATACCCGATATATTTTTTATAATATTTGGATATACCACGGCCAAAAATACACGCTTCAAGACTACAAGTAAAATATTTATTATTAATATATAATATAACTAGTATATAGTATTCGGGTATACCACGGCTAAAAATACACGCTTCAAGACTACAAGTAAAATATGTATATTTAATTTATAATATAAATAGTACATAGTACTCGGGTATACCACGGCCAAAAATACACGCTTCAAGTCTACAAGTGAAATATGTATAATTAATATATAATATATCTAGTATTTGGGTATACCCGATATATTTTTTATAATATTTGGATATACCATGGCCAAAACTCGTTCTGAAATTAGCCATTAAAATTAATTGTTTGGCACGAAACGCTTTCACCTCTTCATAATTCATGATTTTTGGACGGAAGTGCGCTCGCGTGACGTTTAAAAAATCTTGCCTATTTAGGTCATCCGTGTTTCTTTGACTAAGAATCTCCAAATTACCTTTCACTGAATTACCACACAGTCGTGCAAACCAAAGCGCGACTAATCTTACCAGTGCCGTAATAACATGTTTCGCCCAACTGTTGATACTTCGAAGAAAATTCAAGACCCGAGCCCAAGATCGGTCACGTATATATGCTGTGCTCTAACGTTTAAAATTAATCACATGTCACGAGCACGAAATCCGTCGTCAATGTTGTTCGTATCCAAAAGCCTAAAAACGAATCTTAAGCGTCACTAAAGAGAAGGTTACCCCTTTTCCACGATTACGATTGGATTCCGTGGAAAAAAACGTTCAATTACCATCATTTCAACGTTAAATGCCTGATGCCATTCGTTATATTCTTTTGGTAGAACGATAGAAACTGCTGTGAATAGATGCTCAAAAATTTAATATTTGGAAATTTTATTTTCATCGCATGTTTGATTTTACAGCATCAACAAAAAAATACCTCGTAAATATTTCATACGCATAAGCACTTAAGGGTCCATAAGTTTGGGCTCATTTTAATATTTCAAACAGAGCGAGGTAAGTGGTTTTTTATCAGTGCCTGTTGCAAGCCGAGGCTCGCTATCAATAGAAAATGATGCATGGCGACTTTAGCAGAGTTTGTAAATAACTCCTCAGACTTGAATAATAGACTAATAATAATAACAACGAGCTGCAAACAAACATCTTCCGCATCGTGCAAAGACGGAGATGTTTTATTGAAAGTTTTTTATTTTATTATTGAAGTATAGAAGTTTTATTGAAGTATTCGAAAAACTCTGAGTTTTTCTACTAATGGACGCTGATTTCTCAGTTTCATTCAAACTTTCATTGCGCTAACGTTAGATATTTTGTTTTTATTGTAAATTGTGAAAATGAATGTTGTAGGTATACTACAAAGATTATCCAAACAAATAGCCTATTATAATTTATCTCTCTTGACGCTATATTAGAACAACAGAAGGTTGTAAGGAACGCTCTCCCTCTATCAGTAGACATCATAACTATACAAATGTATATTCATCATAATTATCCAAATGTGTATTCATCGTTGTGACAACAGCAGCTGAATCGCTAGTGCAGGCACGCTCTGTGTTTATTCATCGTCCATTCATGTCATTCATCATAGCTGAGAGCTTCTTATAGCGCAGCCGGTGTGTACATACAGAGAGTCTACGTTGCCAAGAGATCACGCAACTCATGGCAGAGATGCTGCAACTCATGGCAGAGATGCTGCAGCTCATGGCAGAGATGCTGCAACTCATGGCAGAGATGCTGCAGCTCATGGCAGAGATGCTGCAGCTCATGGCAGAGATGCTGCAGCTCATGGCAGAGATGCTGCAGCTCATGGCAGAGATGCTGCAACTCATGGACATGTACCTGAGCTTGGAATTTTTAAAAATATTTCTATATAAATTTTGATATTTCAAAACTATAATTTTAAATATTTTAAAATATTCGTAATATTCTACAAAGGTCTGTAATTTTACATGTTTATGTAAAGAAAGCAGCAAGTAAATACGAAGAGCCTGTTTCGACAGGCAAGCAGAATTTGGTAAAAATTAAAAACAATGCGTTTCAAAATTATGTACAACCTCGAAGAGAAAACTTTACTAACGATAATTTTCCTTTTTTACAAGCTAGATACATTCATTACAACAAAAGATTTAGTCATGTCAATCGATACTACGAATTACTACTCATTATAATTTTCTTCAGTGTATGAATAACAGAAGATAATTGAACTGGTGATGCCAGGGAACGCCGTGCGTTGTACAGATCGGCAACAATATCATTGTATGTCTCTTTATTCTCGTTACTAAGAGCCTTTGGAACAATTCGTGAGGCCATTCTATCAACAATGATGGCGAATAATTGATAATAATATGGAATATTAACCAATTCGAATGTCAACCAAATGCTTTTATTAAACTAAAATAATTTGGCAGCATTTAGTTGAATATCTAATAAAATCGAAAGTTTCATGGAGTCAACAGTTGTCTCGATCGCAATGATCATTTTCACTATAATGAAAACCCTACATTTTCACAGAGATCTTTAGCAATAATTAATGTAGTGAGTGGCCTGCGCTGCACATTCTGTGAGTCATGCAGTGTAAGTCTGGCTGAGTCAAGTCATGCCGTGTCATGTCTTGCAGTGTCAATTTATGCCGTGTCAAGTCATGCCATGTCAAGTTATGCCATGTCAAGTCATACCGTGTCAAGTCATGCCTAGTCAAGTCTGGCTGGGTCAAGTCAAGTCTGGCATAGTAAAGTCTTCCACTAGAAGTCAGCCGTTGTCGACAAGGAGCTGAAATTTTCTAAGCATGTTGAAACGCAAGCTAACACATCCAACAAACTTCTTGGACTAATCAGACGCTCACACGAGTTCCTAGATGCAGATACGATGAAGCAGTTGTTTGTTGCCGTCGTACGCCCGAGTCTAGAGTTTGGAAACGTTGTGTGGTCACCGAGATTCGAAAAGGACAGAAATTTAATAGAGAATGTTCAAAGACNAGTTCTATGGACCTAATGTTAGTTACTGCGTGTAAGGCTAAACAGAACCTGGCAAATTATAGCAGTTCTCAGTTCTATGGACCTAATGTTAGTTACTGCATGTAAGGCTAAACAGAACCTGGCAAATTATAGCAGTTCTCAGTTCTATGGACCTAATGTTAGTTACTGCGTGTAAGGCTAAACAGAACCTGGCAAATTATAGCAGTTCTCAGTTCTATGGACCTAATGTTAGTTACTGCATGTAAGGCTAAACAGAACCTGGCAAATTATAGCAGTTCTCAGTTCTGGGAGGCTAAAGTGCACTGCCATTGTGGTAGATGATGAGCTATCACGCACATATTGTGGAGCTAAAAGCAAGATTGAACATGGTTGTAATTTTGCATATGGGTGCACTGAAGCTATATAACTCAAACAAATGGATGGGTTATATTTTCCAAATAATAACCCAGCAGTTCAAACGGTAATTCGCTAGTCATAAAAAGTCTCAGTCATTCATCTGAGTGTGGGGAGACATGCTGAGGCTTGAGATATCGCCTGAGATATTAAGAAATTGAAGCTAGATATTTACTAAGTTTTCCTGTTGAGCTGCTCATTGGCTTCTTAACTCAATAACTCGACTCATTTGGCTTCTAAACTGAAAAAATTTCATTATTTGTTTCTTGGAGTTCGGATAAGTTATACCTAGTTTAAATTTTTATAGAGTTTGTTTTACGAAATTGTTAAGTAGCAAACGTCACACCAGGTCTGATTGTCCGATGTCAATCTGGAGTCTCATTATATTCATTATAATTATGTTTAATTGAATTTAATTTACTAATTATTTACTCAGTATATTCCTCATAATTACATTTAATTACTAGACTCAGGTCTAGTACTTTTCCATCAATCTTTACCAGGTCTAGTGAAAATTACATCTCATTCACAGATGATATAAACTTAGACTATAAGTATAATAAATGAAATGAGACACTAGATTAGCACCGGACATAAGTAAGAAAAATATAACTCAGTACTCACTGCAGTGAGTGACAGAGAGCGCATTTTCTCGTCGACGAAAACTTGAGGTCACGGACTGACGGACAGACAGACGGACGGACGGACATGGCGAGCACATGCAATAGTGCATTTTTTCCATAAATGAGAAAATGCGCTAAAAATTCATGGTTTGAATTATAGAAGACAAACTTGTTTATTTAGTACCAGAAGACGTAGTCTGTGAGAAGCGGACATACCTATATATAGCCTGCTTCCATTGTCTTATCTAAGAACAACGTCTGCACTGCATTGAACATGCGCCTGCTTCTGCATTTATTAATCGAGCCTTCACTTGGCTAAAGTTATGTATCAACGAAAGAAGAAGATATAATTTAATTTGGGTTCTGTCTTTAAATTTGATTCAAAGCACATTCTGAGTTTTTATGAACTGCTACTACCGTATAGGCATATTGAATACAAATTCTATGCAAGATCATTTATCACCCATTCTATAATTATGCATGTAATAATTAATTTATAAAGCGATGATGAACTATTTATTTGTATTGACAAGATATTTACCTGCACTTGTAAACTTCTGTTTTTCAACATTTTTAGTCGAACGTCCGTGTACCGTGTGCCACACTGAGCAGAGGTCACGACCCGTGTACCGTGTGCCACGCTGAGCAGAGGTCACGACCCGTGTACCGTGTGCCACGCTGAGCAGAGGTCACGACCCGTGTACCGTGTGCCACTAGCATGCAGTTGTTCCCCATATGTGTGTCATCCTAACCCATTTTATTCCGGCAAATAAGGCCGTAGCAGTGCAGACAGTGAACCACAATCCGCACAATATATCCCATTAATTTCTCTGAGTGTAGGACTGCCAGAGATCTAGAGTGTCTATAATTAGTGAGAAGTCTCGAGCAATACCTCGGGCATCGCATCGTTGTTCTTGTTTTGTATTTCTGCATGAGCTTCATCTTGCACAAATGAGATGCACAAATGATGTGCAAATGATGCACAAATGATGCACAAACACATATGAGATGCAGATGAGATAAACAAGCATTTTTATTTGAGCGTATTTTCATTTCCCGCAGTGAAGATAATGAAACCTACTCGAATTTAATCTATCGTAGAGGTTTTGATTCGAGTTAAGACCAGAAAATGGATTTTATTAATAAATTATTTTATATTATTATATTATATTATATTATATTATATTATATTATATTATATTATATTACATTATATTATATAATGAGCACACATACTACAGCAAATGCTGGCACCTGTCACAAGAGACGCTCGACGCGCCTCTTATAAACAGCAAGAGGCTCACTTAACAAAATGAGTGAGTCATAATGTTCAAATAGTGATGCATCTGCTTGCCCATTGTATGATCAGAAAACGGAGGTAGCACTAATACGACTCATAGCCGGGCGCATTAGTGTCAAGATGACCCAAACAAGGATGGTTAAGAGGGCATCGATATTTAGAAAAAGTCTCTTGTAGTTCTCTGAGTGTGATATGTTCTTGCTTCAGTACTGCGTCATCTCTCATTCATAATGAATTAGCATGCAAGCTTATGGCAAGATTACAGAAAACAATTGAGATAGGTTCTGTAAAAATTATTGTAGACCAGTGATTATCGTGAAGCGTTTTTTATTGTAAAATTTATAAGGACTGGCAATAACTGCATATCTCAGTTGTCACAAATAGGCTCATCAACAATTATACTCGATCGAGGCTGTTAATCACCTTCCTCTATTTACAATTACTGGCAGATAATGTCCGTATTATTCCTAGCAGGTAATGCCTGCACAATAACTGGTAATAGAATAGAATATAATAGAAGTGTCGGCACCGAAAAAATAGGCCTATGGCCTGTTGCCGATTCTTACACTTTCATTTAAATTGTCAGGAGGTATCTGCTCCTAATTTACAATATCAATTACCGACTCGTATGTGATTGACTGCATGTATTCATCCATCAGCCGTTAGATTTTAGAATAGAATAGAAGTGTCGGCATTGAAGAAATAGGCCCATGGCCTGTGGCCGATTCTTGAACCTTTCGTGACTTGATTCACAAGGGATCCGGCCTTTGGAACCCGATATTTTCATAACTGACAATTGATTGAGATAGCTGCTGGACAAATTGCCTGGTCCGTAAGGTGCTAGGCATTTTAAGACTGAACATATGCTCCTGCATAGCTTCGTCTAGTCTGTTTTTGAAGATGTTCATACTCGGAGCGTCAACGATGCTATCAGGGAGGCTGTTCCACATGTTGGTGACTGGAAGCGAGAAGAAATGTTGTTGCATGGATATGTTACAACGCAGTTTTTTAGTTTATAGCCGTGGCCCCTGGTGTTGGTTCATGTTTCAAATTCCAGTAACCCTTCGGGGACCTTGTATATACCTAGAGTATACTTGTATACTTCAATGAGGTCAGACGTTGATAACTGAAGCTAGGATGCTTCATAATCTTTAATATTTCCTCATAGGACTTGCCTTTCAAGCCCGGAATTATCCTTGTTGTACGACTGTACGTCTTTGAACACTCTCGACCAAATTTTTATCCTTTTCAAGTTTCGGTGACCACACAACGTTTCCAAACTCTATAAGGTTCGGGCGCACGGCAGCAACAAACAACTGTTTCATCGCTTCTGCATCTATAGGAACTCGAAAGAGCGTCTGATCAGCCCAAGTCGTTTACGGGCTTTAATAACTTGACCTTCAATATACTTAGAAAATTTCAAATCATTCTCGATATTAACTCCTAAATCTTTTTCCATTGCCGACTTCGGCATCATAACTCTATCGTTGAACCGTTTCTTCTCATACCGTAATCACACTGATTCTCTAGCTGATTGATGCTCTGCAGATAATTTGATTTGCTGGGCCCCATAAGAGGTTCTAACCCACAAAGCTACACCTCTACTGCACTGCTCCTCGTTTAAGTTATGAAAACAATCAAAACCTGGCAGCTGAAATTCAGCAAGTACAATTTTGCCCCCGTGATTTTTAGGGAGTGTTTCTGTAATACAAATAATATCTATATGCACTCGTTTGCGATCACAGTTAACAGTTCACTTTTTTTGTTCAAAACGGAGTCCGAGTTCGTGTAAAAAAATTTTAAAACATTTTGTGCACTTCCACTTTGATGCATGCGTTTACTTCTTACATTATTTACAGGCCTGAATCTATGGACATGACTTCTTACTTGTCTACCAGCTCCGCTGACTGACCGTGTACGGCCGGTGTTATCTTGACATCGTGAGAGTGGTTGACCCGAGTCTCCATGCTTTTCTGCCTGAGTCTCTCCTGCCATTTCTTGCGAAAATTTGCTCGCTCTAAAGGGGTAGCATCCTTCTTAACAAAGACTGAACTAATCTCTGGGAATTCACTTAGTTTTCTCGCAGCCTTAAGCACATGTCCGACCTGGGCTGTATCCTGCACTGTCACCAGCAGCGGTCTACATGTGGTAACGTCTTCCGATCGCAGCCTCTTGCATGCCGTTATATTTACAACGACGTTAAGTGCCTTGGCACAGCAAGCAGTAATAAACTCAGCATCCGAAGCATTGCTTTCGGGAACGTTAAACCAAACAAGATTAAGTCTTCTTCTCTCTCTATCCAGCAGTTCACGAGTGCTCTCGTTGGCGAGATCAGAGATGACCGAGATGACCTCTTTGCGGCCTTTACCTTCTGTGTAATCGCTATTTTCTGTTTTGTGAAGATGATCTTTCATTTCCTCCAGCTCGCTTCGTAACGAGTGTAATTCGCTACGCAACAAGCTCAATTCTTTATTGTGCTTCTCCTCCATTTCGGCTCTCTATCTCAACTCTTGCTTGATGGTTTCGGCCTTAAAGACAGAAAACATAGAAGAGCACTTCTCTTCAACCATCTTTTCGCTTTTTACTGCGCAAAATGCAGGTTGTTGGCAGTCTTGGCAATACCAGTGTACTGTCTTGTTTCTGCGAATAACCGCGCAGTCTGTCTTGCTCAACTTTGCACAATTGTTGCAGACGATATCCCCGCAACGATCACAGGCTACTTTAGCGTCATTGACGTAGAGCGAAACCAGCTTGCAAAATTTACATCAAATTTCTCCTCTCTCATTTTGCGATTTGATCTTCGCATTCTGTTTAACAGGACTGGAGACCTTTTCAATTAATCTTTTTCCTCTCTGACCAGCCATCTTGAAATGCAAAAGCTAATTTAAACACAAGTTAAAAACCGAAATCAAGTTGAGTAAAAATTGTACAAATTACCAAAGTGTTGTAAAGAACTCTGTTACAGACTTGGGAGTAAGCGGCTATATTGTCCCGCGTGGGCGAGGCAGTCACACGTTACCCTCGCAAGCAAGCGTCCCTAACTGACTCTAAAAGTCCGCGTTATTCAAAATGAAAACGCTTTTACAATGGGCTTGTTCTTTCTATTCGCACTCTCTTTTACTTACTTCACTGAAATTCGGGCATTCTTTGACACGGATCAATACCAGTGTACTGTCTTGTTTCTGCGAATAACCGAGCAATCTGTCTTGCTCAACTTTGCACAATTGTTGCAGACGATATTCCCGCAACGATCACAGGCCACTTCAGCGTCATTGACGTTGAGCGAAACTAGCTTGCAAAATTTAAGAATTTCCCCTCGCTCATTTTGCGATTTGATCTTCGACTTTGGTTTAATAGGACTGGAGGCCTTTTCAATTAATCTTTTTCCTCTCTGACCAGCCATCTTGAAATGCAAGAGCTAAATAAACACAAGTTAAAAACCGAAATCAAGTTGAGTAAAAAATGTACAAATTACCAAAGTGCTGTAAAGAACTCTGTTACAGACTTGGGAGTAAGCGATTTTCAGAGAGCGGCGATCTCAGCGGCTTAGGTGTTCAGAGAAGAGGTATAGGCTAGGACAAGAAAACAAAGGCTGTATTGTCCCGCGTGGGCGAGGCAGTCACACGTTACCCTCGCAAGCAAGCGTCCCTAACTGACTCTAGAAGTCCGCGTTCTTTGAAATGAAAACGGTTTTACTATGGGCTTGTTCTTTCTATTCGCACTCTCTTTTACTAGCTGACTTCACTGAAATTCGGGCATTCTTTGACACAGATCATAAAAAAATGCGAAAATAGTTCCGAAAACGGCACAGTAAAAGTTAAAAATTTTGAAATTTGCGACCACAAACACAAGCGTCCTTTCTCGCCCACGGCTGAACGGAGACTCATGGCCGTGGCCGTAATGATGGCCGTACAATCAATAATAATAGTACTGGAATCTACTATTACTGGTAATAATAAATAGCACAATCAACAGCTGATATTGTCCATAAAATATCATGTATTGTTCTGACATTGTCTGGTCCCGGACAGCAGCCAGCGGCCGGCAGCTCGAGCCTCGCGCCATCCAAGTGCGCACGGAGCTTGGAGTTGTCACCGGCACCCTGGAGTTCTCCAGCCAACCCACCACCCCACCCAGCTACGGCCGGCGTTACTACTCCTTCAGGTGAGAAGCAGTCGTACTATCAAAACGCGCCAAAAACTGCATATTGCGGCATCATAACACGTAGCGGCCTAAGTACACGTGGCATCCTAAGTACACGTAGCGGCCCAAGTACACGTAGCGGCCTAAGTACACGTAGCGGCCGAAGTACACGTGGTGGCCTAAGTGCAGGTAGCGGCCTAAGTACGTACACGTAGCGGCCTAAGTACACGTAGCAGCCTAAATTAAGTACACGTAGCGGCCTAAATTAAGTACACGTAGCGGCCTAAGTACACGTAGCGGCCTAAGTACACGTAGCGGCCTAAGTACACGTAGCGGCCTAAGTACACGTAGCGGCCTAAGTACACGTAGCGGCCGATTTCTCGTTTGTTATTAGTGGGTTTAGCTTGAATAGCCGTCGGCGTCTGTGATTGGCTGACGGAGTTACTACTGTTTTTGATAGTACGGTGCCAGGAACCATACTTTCAAAACTCGCTAAGTGAACGTAAGTACTTACGCTCTATTTTCTTGTCTATGATTGGTGGATTTTGCTTGAAAGGCCGTCAATGATTGGCTGATGAACTTACGATCTCTTAACTTTTTTTGAAAGTATAGGCCCAGATCATTTAATTCGTCAGCAGGTATCTGCTCTTAATTTACAATAGTAATTAGCGACTCGTGAGTTATTGATTACATTTATTCCTCCATCCTCTGCTAGATATTGCCAACAATTGAGTACCAAATCTAAATAATTTATACATAATGCATAGAAACAACTTACCTTCTATACAATTTATACATAATGCATAGAAACAACTTACCTTCTATACAATTTATACATAATGTACCTTATAGTCTACCTATATAAACAACTTACATTTTATACAACTTATACAGAATGTATAGAAACAACTTACCTTCTATACAATTTATACATAATGTATATAAACAACTTACCTTTAANAATGTATAGAAACAACTTACCTTCTATACAATTTATACATAATGTATATAAACAACTTACCTTTAATATATAAATAATATTGTCAGAGGCCTGCCGTACGTGAAGGCTCCTGTAGGGGAGCTGCGGTGGGCGGCGCCCCAGCCCCTGGAGGGCGGGTGGCCTGGGGGAGCTGTGGACGGGCGGCGACACAAGGCTTTTTGTCCTCAGTACGACCACGACCAGAAGAAAGTGGTCGGGGAGGAGGACTGTCTCTTCCTTAATGTCTACACGCCATTCTTGCCAGGTTACTTCATAAAATATTGAATGCATTCAATAATAATTGTTTATTTCAGCCATTCTTATCAGGTTACTTCATTCTTAAATACTTCGGTGCATTTAATAATTATTGGTTTATTTCACAGCGGGGAAATCTATAGTTTTGTCATTATCAACTTTCTTTTAAAATATCGTTCATGAGCGAGCTGTTTTCTTAATATTTCGTTAATGTATGAATTCTTAAGTTAATTGTAAGTATTTATGCAGTCTACTGCTAAAAGCATATCGATATTTCAAATCAAAAGTTGAGTCGTTTGATTGTTATTTAACGAAAATTGTTCTTTTCTCGGAATCAAGTTTCAAAAGCATAAACGAGGGCGTTTTAATTTCTCAATAACTTTAGACCAAAACAAACAGACACCTTATATTTGTTTCTTTTATCGATTGCAAAAAGTTATTACCTATATATCACAACAGTAACAACACACTTGCACTTTACACCTCTGATAGACCATCAACACTGAAGTTCTTATAGTTCGCAAAGGGTAACATTTTCCTCGAATAAAGCAATATAAAGCAATTTTTAGCAAATAAAGCAATTTTTTAAAGGGTAACATTTTCCTCTTCGAATAAAGCACGTGCAGTTGTCGTACGTTGGCGGTTATCGTCTTGTGTTATTACGTATCTGAAAATCATGTATAATTCAAATAAGTATTCATATTATTTTATTTGATTAATTAATATACAACTGTTTTACTTTTTATCGTTAAATATAAACATTTGATTGAACTGCGGTAATTCGAAAATTAATTTTCTTAGAACTCGAGTTTACCGCGGCCAAAAATATACGCTTCAAGACAACAAGTAAAGTATGTATAATTAAAATATAATATAACTAGTATATAGTATTCGGGTATACCACGGCCAAAAATACACGCTTCAAGGCACAAGTAAAATATGTATAATTAATATATAATATATTATATAACTAGTATTCGGGTATACCCGATATATTTTATATAATATTCGGGGGTATACCACGGCCAAAAATACACGTTTCAAGACTACAAGTAAAATATTTATAATTAATAAACAATATAAGAAGGAGTTAATATAACGTTCGGTTGTGTATATACCACCGCCAAAAATACACGCTTCAAGACTACAAGTAAAATATGTATAAGGCTGGGGGTGTTGGGTGAGGCTGGGGGTGTTGGGTGAGGCTGGGGTTGTTGGCTGAGGCTGGGAGTATTGGGTGAGGCATATTTCAAGGCACCTTCCCGTCTGGGCAAAATTTTTCTCCTTACAAAGTTACTAAAAAGTATTTTTTCCGTGATTCTCTGTTAAAAATTAATTCCTCGCTAAGAAATACAAAACTACTTCGTAACTTTATACGCTGGAGTTATTACAAAAATATTGTATTATTTTAGCAACTGAGCACGTGGTGTGAAAATAAGAAATTATTTTGAAGATGCACAACTCAAAGAATGCTAAATAAGTGCGTTGGAATTAGTAAATGTTCTGGGACTAGACATTCCAAACTGGCGATGAGAAATAAAGTTTTCATTTTCAGATAAATCTCTTTGAGACTAGACACTTTGAAGTTTCCACAAACTTTGATTTTTTTAAAAGTTTTTTATTTCCTATTAGGTTTCCTTAAATTAAATTTCCTATTAGGTTTCCTTAATTTAAATTTCCTATTAGGTCCCCTTAAATTAAATTTCCTATTAGGTTTCCTTAAATTAAATTTATTATTAGGTTTTCTTAGCGACGGTACAAGGAAGCTGCCGGGCAACTACGGAGCTCTGGACCAGGTGGCCGCTCTGAAGTGGGTCCAGCGACACATCAGGTGCGTAAAACTAATACAAAATCTATTTCATCGGCAAAAACATTTCTTCGATATAATGAATGATATCAAACTGAATAATTTTGTGTAGATTTCACGTATGTCCAAACGAATCGCAAATGTTTTTCTATTAATTTAGGTTCGATCTCACCCTCTGCGAAACTTTAATGCATTCTAATCTTGTTTTATTCGCCAATGCGGCTTTCGTCAGTGATAAATCTATATTAACTTCGCTACAAAAAAGTGTCTATATCTTTAAATATTTTTTCTCACCCTCTGCGAAGCTTTAATGTATTCTAATATTGTTTCTTGAGGCCTTCGTCATTGATAAATATATTAACTTCGTTACAAAGAAGTGTTAATATTTATATATATTTTTTCCCGTAGTTCCTTTGGAGGCGACGCTCGGCAAGTCACCCTGGGAGGCTTCTCAGCAGGAGCTTCTTTCGTCCACCTTCATCTTCTGTCCCCGCTCTCGAAAGGTGACTCTTCAACAATGACATTTTAATCTATTAAGACGTCTACCTACGGGACGACCCGTTCTTGCCCGCGCCCGTGTCTGAGCTGATGGCCCGTCCCCCCGCGTCTCCCGTGCCCGTGCTGGGGGGCAGCACCCGTGACGAGGGCATCCTGTTTGCACTCAGTAAGTTTCATGGTAAAATTTTAAAAAGCTAAAATCAAAATAAAAGCGTTTAAAAATTACTTTTTTAAAAATTACTTTAAAATTACTTCTTTAAAAATTACTTTAAAAATTACTTTTTGAAATTTACTTTAAAAATTACTTTTTGAAAATTACTTTAAAAATTACTTTTTTGAAAATTACTTTAAAAATTACTTTTTTGAAAATTACTTTAAAAATTACTTTTTAAACACAACAATTCCAAAGAGGCCAGTGTCTCCGATGTTATAGAATATACACTGAATTTCTAATTTTATTTGTAGATTTGTAATAAATAATTTTTATTACAAATGAAAATAAATTTTATTTGTAATAAAAATATAATTTTTCAAATTATTCATTCTGTCGACTGATTCATCATGCATTGTCTCCGACTTTACGCAAATGTGCAAAATTTCAGATCGATTGGAGAGGTAGAAATGTGTTAAATTTTTATTATAAGATTTGTAGCAGACAGACAAGCAAACAAGGAGTGAAGTTAAATAAAAGTGTTGTAATAATGGAAAACTTACGTTACCAAAAGTGGCTTTATACAATATTAAGAGTTAATGAACACAAGATACCGAAGTTATTTATAAACTTTTCTATTTGCCGAGTAGCAACAACTAAAAAATAACAAGTTAATAAAGTAATGAATAACTATTATAAAAGTGTAGATGCTGTTTCACTGGGAATGAATGTACGATCATTTTACTGTGCTTCAAAGGCTTTTTGTTATCTTTGAAGCGACGATTTTGTTCAAAGAAACGCGTCTTTTCTTTATTGGTGTACGGCACATCAATTTTTTATTGTTTGTTAGTTTATTATTGCTCATTTAATATTTTATTAACGCTCATTTATTATTATATTATTGCTCATTTGTTATTTTATTATTGCTCGAGTAACACTTTTTCATTTTATTATTGCTGCTCACTAACTTTTTTTATTCGTTGTTATTGTTATAAACTTTATTTATTATATTTTTTTATTACAATTAACCTTTTTTCTTCACTGAAGCAACTATTCTGTTCGCACGCAACCCTGGGAGCGCGTCTTTTCTCTATTGGTACACGGCACATTACCCATTTTTATTTTTTGTTATTGTTATCAACATTATTTTGTTATATTTTCTTAATTATTAAATTATTAATCCCCTTTTTCTTTATTGCAGCAACAATTCTGTTCGCACGGAACCCCGGGAGCGCGTCTCAGGTACACGACGAGGCGACGGTGTACCTGCTAGGCAGCCTCTGGCCTAACATCACCTTTTTTTATTGTTTTTTTATTGTTATCAACCTTATTTTATTCTATTTTATTTATTTTTGAATTATTAATAACCTTTTTCTTCATTGCAGCAACGATTCTGTTCGCACGGAATCCTGGGAGCGCGTCTCAGGTACACGACGAAGCGACGGTGTACCTGCTAGGCAGCCTCTGGCCTAACATCACCTCTACACACGAGATCTCACACGTCCTACACTCCTACTACTACTCTCCTACTGCCAAGGATAACCTAGACGAACTGCTCCTACAGATGACTGAGGTGACTAGATTAATGTTTTGGATTGGTGCTATCGACGACTAGTTGTTTTAAAGCTAGTTTATTTATGTTTTGTATTTATCTTATCAACGACTAGTTCATGTAGTTGTTTTAAAGCTAGTTTATTTAAGATTTGTATTGATCTTATCAACGACTAGTTCAAGTAGTTGATTTAAAGATAGTACATTTATGTTTTGTATTGATGCTATCAACAACTAGTTGTTTTAAAGCTAATTTATGTATGATTTGCATTGAACCTATCAACGACTAGTTGTTTTAAAGCTTGTTTATTTATCTTTTCTATTGGTGCTATCGACGACTAGTGGTTTTAAAGCTTGTTTATTCAAGTTTTATGTTGTTCCTATCGACGACTAGTTGTTTTAAAGCTAGTTTATTTATGTTTTGTATTGATCCTATCAACGACCAAAGACTAGTTGTTTAAAAGCTAGTTATTCCTGATTAGGTTAAAAATTTAAACCTGCGGATCATGGCCGTGCATTTCAATTGTAATTCTAACCTGTAGATGCAATCGAATTTAGATCCTAATAATTATAATTCAGATTAATCCAAGAGCACCGGAGGTCAACCTAATTATTGGGTTGACCGTTGCGTAAAATAGCATTTTTTTTAAATAGCATAGTGTGTGCGTTTGTCTTAGCAATCATACCCTAAAAAACATCTTATCCGAAATTAATTGTTATACTAATATTGTTATGTACGTATGCAGTATATATAACAACGTATACTCAGCTGAGGAACATCGGCCTCAAATGTTAAGCCGACATTTATTGATTTTTTTTATTAAACTCATCAACTACCGCGTTTCGTAAATTTTTTTTAGTTGACGCTGAATCTTTTTACAGAATGGCATCGATACGCGACAACTTTAAAAAACATTTTGCGCAATTTATTTGAAGTGTCACAGGAATGCGGATTGCGAACATATGTTTTCGGTGGTCGTCGTGCATCTTTCCCAACAATTCGAATTATAACCATGCATTATCATGCATTTTAATGAATGACTTCGAATATTATAGCTTTATTCGTGCTTTTTTGGATGTTATTAACATTCTATTTGTAAATTCAAATTTTATTTTCGTTTTTTCTTAATTTTGACTGGACCAAATACTATTTTAACTGTTCTAACCACTGATTGTACCTACATTTTATAATCTTCGAACTGACGATGAAGCTGGACTCCGAAACATTTTCTTTAAATACATGTTAAATTTTTATGTAATTTTCTATGTTTTTAGCGCATTTTCTCATTTATGGAAAAAATGCACTATTGTGCTCGTCATGTCCGTCTGTCTGTCTGTCTGTCTGTCTGTCTGTCCGTCTGTCTGTCCGTCTGTCTGTCTGTCCGTCTAAGTTCAACCCGGGCAACCATGCCAGGGTTGAACTTATAATAATAATTGTTCACCCATGCAGTCCCAGACTACAACACAGTCGTAGATTAGTCTATATATCATCATTACAGACCATATATCATCGTAGAATCTTATTCCATATCATCGTCGTGTATATTTCACTATTTATTCCATCAGAAAAAAAGTATCCTTCAAAATTTCTATAATAATAATAAAAACAATGTTGATAATCATAATGATAATAATAATAATAATAACGATGATAATGTTAATAATAATAATAATAATAATAAAGATGATAATGATAACAATTATAATGATAACGATAATAATGAAAATAATAATGATGACAATACTAATAATAATAACGATGATAATAATAATAAAAATCATGATAATAATAACTATGATTATGATAATAATGCTAACAATAACAATAATAATAATAATAATATTGCTAATAATATTGACCCCCCGCAGCTACCTGATGACTCACCACGACCCCGCCTCCCCATCGTTCGCGTTCCCCCTAGGCTCATCCCTGCCCCCCTGGACCCCCCTACGCCCCGGTGAACCCCTGACCTTCTACAGGCTGTCCCTCACCCCCGGCATGGTGACTCAGCCCTTCAGGCACAAGGTTAGCTCTAGATATATAATAATTATTATTGTAAACTTATTAAATCAAAGTTTTGAAATTATCATGTTAAACTCTTAAAACATTATGATGAAATTTGAAGTCGAAATATTTTAATAATTCGACCCTTCAGGCACAAGGTTAGCTCTAGAAATATAATAATTATTATATTAAACTTATTAAATCAATGTTTTGAAATTATCAAATTCTTAAAATATTATGATAGTAATACTCTATGTATCATAATAATTCGATTAAATTTATTATATTAATTAGCTCGTCATATACTGGATATATAATAATTATTATAATAAACTTATTAAAGAACGTTTTGAAGTCATCATGTCAAACTGTTAAATAACAATGATGAATCTTACTCGAAATATTATAATAATTCGATTAAATTTATTATATTAACGTTTTGAAATTTTTATGTTGCAATATTATTTTATCCTTAACTGCAAAAATTACGTCAAAAATTCACTATAGACTCGGCACAACATAATATCACAAAAGTGTTAGAAACATTACTTTACTACAGTACATTGAAATTTAATCCAATGCATTCATCACCACGCCATATGTTGAACATCATCATCTGGCACTTTAAATATCAACATTCACACCGTCAATAACGCTAATAAAAGCTCATACATTTTTATTAAGATAACAAATAAATAATTCCATAAACTTGCCGTTAATACGGCTATTATTTTCGTCATTCAGTGATATTTCAAATCCTTTTTATTATATTATTTATATTTAGTTTTATTTATAATAAATAACTATTATATTATCTTTAATTATTTAAATTATTAATTTGTTCAATTAATGACTATTTAATTATTATTTTAAAAAAATTTTCCCAATGTCGGGCAGGAACGCAACCTGTGGCAGCAAACGCTTCCGAAGCTCGAGACCATGAGCTACCAACTGGACGAGGCCTTCAGCTGGCAGGTGATGTGTGATGTATCCTTCAGCTGGCAGGTGATGTGTGATGTGTGATGTATCCTTCAGCTGGCAGGTGACGTGTGATGTATCCTTCAGCTGGCAGGTGATGTGTGATGTATCCTTCAGCTGGCAGGTGACGTGTGATGTGTGATGTATCCTTCAGCTGGCAGGTGATGTGTGATGTATCCTTCAGCTGACAGGTGATGTGTGATGTATCCTTCAGCTGGTAGGTGATGTGTGATGTATCCTTCAGCTGGTAGGTGATGTGTGATGTATCCTTCAGCTGGTAGGTGATGTGTGATGTATCCTTCTGGTGATGTGTGTTTAGTTTATTTATTATTATCAGTTTATTTACAACTGATATTGCTACCATACAGTTTAGTTTCCATTCATATTGCTATACAGTGTATTTCACATTAATGTGGCCATACAGTATATTTTAAACTTATGCTGCTATACAGTGTATTTCACATTAATGCGGCCATACAGTACATTTTAAACTCATTTTTCTATACAATATATTTTCTTTCGTTCTCATACGTAATATTTAACTGTAAATGAACAGGTGGCGACGTGGGTGCTCACTGTGCTGTGCTTGCTGCTGCTGCTGGCGCTGCTCGTGCTCCTCATAGGCAAGATCCTGGGCAGGAGAAGGAAGCAGTATCCTGCCGGCGCCGCCACCCTCAGGAGCAGGCAACCGCGTACCTCCACATACGGGACTCCGGGGGAACGCCCGGAATGATGTGTACGATGTCAACCCTTCCACTGATTTAAGTGATTTTATTCAGCTTCTTTCACACTTTTTCGCGATCTCTTTTATTCATTAGCATCTTTTATTCATTCTTCAACCTCGCTCTGCGCTGAAAAGCATGTACTATGTTTCACACACTTCTACTAATTTTATTCAGCTTCTTTCACACTTTTTCACCATCTCTTTTATTCATTGGCATCTTTTATTCATTCTTTAACTTTGTGGAGATGGTAACCACGCTCTGCGCTGAAAAGAATGTACTATGTTTCACACACTACCAGTATTTATTTTTCATTCACTTTCACCATCCGAAATGAAAGTGCTCTCAACAAACAGTAATACTCCATAAACCTTCATTCTCCACCTATGAACTCCCAAAATCCTATCCTTTACCTACGAACTCCCGAAATCCTATCCTCCACATATGAACTCCCGAAATCCTATCCTCCACCTACGAACTCCCAAAATCCTATCCTCTACCTACGAACTTCCTTTCTTTTTCTTCACCCCAAAAACTTTCCCCAAAGTTTGATCGTTAGGAAGGCCGGAAAAATGGAAAGGATTTTCACACATCCTAAGGCAGAAGTCAAGTAGACACATCGTCTGCTAAACGTCAACCCAGCCTCAATTTTTAGATCTGTAAGGTGCTCATTACTTTTTTCATGGAAAGTTACTCCTGAAATTCCAAGAATTACTTTGATGAATTACATTGAAATTTTAGCATAAAAAATCCTGAATTATCTGAATAAATTCACATTGAATCGTTTCCAGATTTCCTCTACAAAAAATACCGTACAATGAATAATAATTATTTCAATTCAATAATGAATGCGTAGTAATTTTAAATATTATAACGAATGAGCATACGATTTATTAGTCTACTTTAATAAATTGCAGTAATATTTGTATATACGCCGATAACGGATTTTCGTATCTCGAACAAAATTATCTTTACTATATTTATAATTGCATCAGTTTGATACGCAGGCAAGACATATCTTTCGTTATCGATTGTGTGACCCTGAATAACCATAAAATTATATGTATTTACTGGAACATAAAGGAAATTTATTCCATATCATCTTCAATAAACGCCTTTACATTATGTTATACATCAGCATGTAGATAATGGTTAGTTTGACGTCAGAGTTCCTACTATACATGGCGGCTCAAATTTGCTAGAGGCTGCTTTCCTAAAGTCATATATTGTTCCTATGTTATACGGCGATCGTACGTTATACGGTGATCGTACGCTATACGATGATCATACGTTATACGGTGATCATACGTTATACGGTGATCGTATATTATACGGTGATCGTCCGTTATACGGTAGTCGTATGTATTGTACGTAAAGGTTTAATTAGTTGATTAAGTTGTTTAAAACCAAAAAAGCGATAGGCTGATGAAATTAGAACTCTTTTTTTTTTTAGTCCCTCTCACCAGGTACATTTAACCGCTACCGCTTGCTTCACTATTATTCATTTAACAATAGTTATTATGTTATTTTCTAGTCGTGAATAGTGCTTGAATTGAATTTTAGTTCCAAACGAATGAATCGTGCGAGTTTTCAGGTACTCGAACTTGGTATTGGGCAAGTGCCGAAAGAAACTTTCCAAAATTAAGTTTGGCATAACCACGAACTCTAGTTCATTCATCATCTATACTTGAATCATGAATCTATTGTTTGTTTCTAAGTCATAGCGAACCTCAAGAAATTCCATCGCACAAACTCTAGTCAAATAATTTATAATTTAATAACAATTATGAAGTTCACGTCTCGCCCGTTTGAATTTATTCCATTGCTCATAATTCCATTTGAAATTCATGTCGTAAATTTTTTAATGTTATGAAATTGAAAGTTAAACAAATTATGAACTGATAGAAGCAAAGTATGATGCGTGGAGCGGAATCCTCGAATATCGGGTCGATAGAAATCACCGATAAAATCGGTCAGATATACGACTTATTGAGTGTAAACCTTTAAACAAGTTTAATCCTTTATTAAAATATAGTTCTTAGTCCTTGTTAAGACAGAAAATTATAAAAACGCACAATATAGTTTAGAGAATGGTTAATAACTATTTATATATATATATATTGTAAACGAAGAATGTATTTTTTTATATCCCAAGCAGCTTTAACGGCTTCAGAGCGTAAAATACGGTGAGTTTATAATAAATTATGACCCTTTATTACTTTTACTAAATTGGCTTTATAAATGAGAGAACTTATTAAGTTATCTGGAATATCACCAAATAGCTTCTCAAGAATATATCATGAACGAAGAAAAAAATTAAACAATTTGAAAATCTCTTCAGTTTAGCTAGCGCTATTATCTAATTTCTAGTAGGTAAAACTTCTCAAGATTACGAAAGATGAACAAGATCATGAACGAAAAAAAGTTAAAATTTAAATCCTGGTAAGCCTACCTAGTTATGAAGTTCAAAGGGCTGAAGAAAACGCTGAAAAGTGACTGAAATCTGGTTTTGTATTTCTGACGCAATGAATGGTTGTCAAAATTCAGTCTTCCAAAATATTTTAATATAAAAACCTACGGCGATCCAAAAAATGCCGTGCCATCAAAAACAGATCTGACAGTGATGTTCTACATTAGCTTAGGGAATGTGAATAACTCTAATAATAAATAATAATAACAAAGAGTCAAATAATAACGAGTTAGAGGTTTGTATGTTCATGTAATAACAATGAAGATGTCAACCCGTGAGGTATTTCCGTCCGTAAATTGAAGCTTTCTTCTCAAACGCGGGCGAGTTGATAGGAGTGTTGGGCTCGTAGAACGGGTTCATAGAGTGCTGGAGATAAATAACAAATAAATTATCTTAATAACTTATAAATAAATTATAAATAATAATTTATAATTTAATAACAGTTATGAAGTTCACGTCTCGCCCGTTTGAATTTATTCCATTGCTCATAATTCCATTTGAAATTCATGTCGTAAATTTTTTAATGTTATGAAATTGAAGTAGCTAAATAACGCACTAATACTTCTGCAATGAATCATAATTGGAACTCAACTCAAACGTGAACACAATCAATAATTATACAACAACATACCTTAAGTAAACTAGTGCACACTGATATATAATACTTCTGCGATGAATCCTAATCGGAACTCAAACGCGAACACAATAAATAATTATACAGGAAGACCAATTAATTAAAATTTTGTATAAAAACACAATGCTGGGCAAGACAAAGTTGTACTCACTTTGATGTAAGTTTCGTACATCTCTACGAAGAATTTCTGGATGCCGTCTTCGTTCTTAACGTCATGAAGGCAGACCATGCGGATACGACCAGCCGTGACGAACGCTGAGACGTACCTAAAATAATATTAGTTATTAAATATTATTAGTTAGTTTACCCTACACAATGAAATAATATTAGTTAGTTTAACTTTAATTACAATAATAGTGTTATATTGTTATAATATTGTTTTATTGTATATATTATTGTTATAATATTGATGTTATAATATCGTTATATTTAAGGTAAACAACGCTTTGGCCTTCTCTCGAAAATATTGGATGTTTTGTTCTGGAAAATAAAGGATTAATTTTTTTGGCTGTATATAAGAAAAACACAGCTCATTCCAGACATTAAGTCGTGCATTTGTATGCATGCATACGATACATCATGCAATTATAGTGAATATCTTGAGTACGAATTAGACTTGTACAACTCATACATTGTATGAGTAAATGAATTACTCTCAGACACTTAGCATACATTGAATCTGTCAACAAATTTTAGGTACATGTTAAACATACCTACATCACAGTCAATATTAGGCACTAATAANTAGTGAATATCTTGAGTACGAATTAGACTTGTACAACTCATACATTGTATGAGTAAATGAATTACTCTCAGACACTTAGCATACATTGAATCTGTCAACAAATTTTAGGTACATGTTAAACATACCTACATCACAGTCAATATTAGGCACTAATAAAACTTAGCATACATTGAATCTGTCAACAAATTTTAGGTACATGTTAAACATACCTACATCACAGTCAATATTAGGCACTAATAAAACTAACCATTCATTGAACTTGTCGACTATCTTGAGGTACATGTTAAACATACATCACACTCATACAACTGACCATTCATTGAACTTGTCGACTATCTTCAGATACATGTTAAACATACATCACAGTCATACAACTGACCATTCATTGAACTTGTCGACTATCTTGAGGTACATGTTAAACATACATCACACTCATACAACTGACCATTCATTGAACTTGTCGACTATCTTGAGGTACATGTTAAACATGCATCACAGTCATACAACTGACCATTCATTGAACTTGTCGACTATCTTGAGGTACATGTTAAACATACATCACAGTCATACAACTGACCATTCATTGAACTTGTCGACTATCTTGAGGTACATGTTAAACATACATCACACTCATACAACTGACCATTCATTGAACTTGTCGACTATCTTGAGGTACATGTTAAACATGCATCACAGTCATACAACTAACCATTCATTGAACTTGTCGACTATCTTGAGGTACATGTTGAACATACATCACAGTCATACATCACACTCATACAACTAACCATTCATTGAACTTGTCGACTATCTTGAGGTACATGTTGTTGCTGGTCCACATGCTTTCGTCCACCAAGTCTAGCGCGGCGTGTGCGATGAACTGGTTCAGGTGGCGGTGCTCTTCTTTCTGGTGCGTGAAATAAGATTTAACATAGGTTGTTGTTAATAACATTTAACATAAAAGGTTGTTAAATTTGTTTGTTATATAACAATTTGTTAAATAACAAGTTAAATAGCATTTAACATAGAAGGTTGTTAAATAACATTTAACAACGTTCCTGTCATTTTAAATAACGGTGTGGAGCATAAACATCAAATGAAATAACGATTTGTTTAATGGGGCAGGAAAACTCGAGTTAGCTAAAGGCACGAACAGAAAAATTGTGGATGAAAGACTTTTTATTTTACGATGAGGACAGTTTTTTCGAAGAGGATTTTTTAAAGAACGTGTTGAAAAATAAAATAAGAATAGGTACCTATATAAGCATAAGTACTAAAGATTCTTTTTTTTTTTTACACAACAATGAAAGTGAAGAATACCAAAATCTGCGTATTACAAAGTCATTTTAGTCAATAATATCATCATAATACTCAGTCAACGCTAAAGCGTGGCCTGGGATTGCTACGCTCGAAACCCTTCTCAAGATTATGATGGTAATCACGAGGAGCCAATTAAGAAGTTGAATAATATGCGTTTAAAAATTACTTTTTAAAGACAACACATCTAAAGGAGCCAGTGTATCCAATGTTACACATGTACAATGAATTTCTTATTTTATTTGTAAATATTAACTAAATTATTTTCAAAGGGTTTTATACATGATTTTTTTTAAATTATTTATTCTGTCAGTTGATTCATGCATTGTCTCCGACTTTATGCAAGCGTGCAAAATTTCAGATAGATTGGACAGGAAGAAGTGTGTTAAATATAGATAACGTATAAGATTTGTAGCAGGCAGTCAAACAACAAGAAGTGAAGTTAAAGAGAAGTGTTGTAAAAACAACAAGAAGTGAAGTTAAAGAGAAGTGTTGTAAAAACAACAAACAACAAGAAGTGAAGTTGAAGAGAAGTGTTGTAAAAACAAACAACAAGAAGTGAAGTTAAAGAGAAGTGTTGTAAAAACAACAAGAAGTGAAGTTAAAGAGAAGTGTTTTAAAAACAACAAGAAGTGAAGTTAGAGAGAAGTGTTGTAAAAACAAACAAGAAGAAGTGAAGTTAGAGAGAAGTGTTCTAAAAACAAACAACAAGAAGTGAAGTTAAAGAGAAGTGTTCTAAAAACCACAAGAAGTGAAGTTAAAGAGAAGTGTTGTAAAAACAAACCACAAGAAGTGAAGTTAAAGAGAAGTGTTGTAAAAACAAACAACAAGAAGTGAAGTTAAAGAGAAGTGTTGTAAAAACAACAAGAAGTGAAGTTAAAGAGAAGTGTTGTAAAAACAACAAATAAAGAGAAGTGTTGTAAAAACAAACAACAAGAAGTGAAGTTAAAGAGAAGTGTTGTAAAAACCACAAGAAGTGAAGTTAAGAGAAGTGTTGTAAAAACAAACAACAAGAAGTGAAGTTAGAGAGAAGTGTTCTAAAAACAAACAACAAGAAGTGAAGTTAAGAAAAGTGTTTTAAAAACCACAAGAAGCGAAGTTAAGAAAAGTGTTTTAAAAACCACAAGAAGCGAAGTTAAAGAGAACTGTTGTAAAAACAACAAGAAGTGAAGTTAAGAGAAGTGTTGTAAAAACAAACAACAAGAAGTGAAGTTAGAAAGAAGTGTTCTAAAAAAAACAACAAGAAGTGAAGTTAAAGAGAAGTGTTGTAAAAACAACAAAAAGTGCAGTTAAAGAGAAGTGTTGTATAAATTAAGCATCGCAGAAGACTCGCCTTGGGCTCCTTGTTGGAGGGAGAAAACTCCATCTCGAAGAGCGGATTATCCAAGTGCCCCACGATGGCGAAGTAGTAGTTGCCGGACATGCTTGCTCTGATCACTGTCTTCTATGCGCACGCCTGCACCAAGTTGATCTAGAGATTAATACAGAAATGTTATTAACCAATTCAAGGAACACACAGATATTCAACAGGTGCATACAATAATAAATAATATAATACAATATTATTATTTAATACAAACACGTGCATACAATAATAGAATCCCATTCTAGATGAACGGCGTGTGAAATCTTGACAACGTTTAAATAAATTATACAAATTCATTCATTAAGAATGAGAATAAAATTCAAAGAATTAGTTCATTCTTTTTTGCCGTAATTATCTAGATTTTTTCGATGTGATAGGATCTGAGGAGAAGGTGAAGCGTCATTCTGAACAATTTATTTGATCAGAACGAGCATGGGCCCATTTCTTCAGTGCCGACATTTCTATTCTATTCTATAACATGTTTAGGGACAGACTTTTGAGCTCCTCGCCGTTCAGGCTAAACAAACTTGCCAATTTTACCAATCTAGGTGCAAGATGATAGTTATTTTAGTCACTTTTATTAGATAAAGGCAGAATGCTTAAAGATTATCAAGATAGGAGGAGCGAGTTGAGGGTTACATACCCACAATTAGCTGTGAAAATTCTGGTCGATATCAGCAAGGAAGCCCGGGACTTTGTAATCAGTGAAAGGCCAAAATGGCAAATGAAAAATTGACAACAATTTATTATTATTTGTTCAATATTACCGACTGTCCTATTGATTACAATGCAAACGGAAACAACCTTTTTCAAGGGAGAGAATATTTAACGGGGCAGCAACTTCTGTATTTCACAAACTCTGATCGTATGGGTGGCGTTAAAGACCAAATTGAATACTATATCAATTTCAAAAAGCTAGCAATTTAATTACTAGCGCTAAATGTGTGCGACATGAAAATACGATGAGTATAATGCGCACCCCTCCGCACATACAAGCAGAATTTCGGCAACAATCTGCTTGAGGAAATCAAATCATCTGTAAAAATTAAATTATTTTAGCGGTCAGAGTGGAGAAAAAAAAAGTTCATGTGTCTCAATTATATATTTTTGTAAGTTAGAACATGGACGATGAGGCACTTAGAGGGACAGACCATCTATAACAAAAGGCTCAACGTCCCATGGAACTTGAGGGAACGTCGCTCCTACGAAGACAACACAAATGCGGGCAAACCGGACAAGCCTTTTAGTGATACAAATAACAACCGATTTAATATCCGAAATACAAACTGTAATGGGGAAATTAATGGGTTTAGAAGATTTGCCCGAGGACATGGTTCTTAAATTGATCAGCTCATTAAGTGCAAATGAAGTAAATCGAACACAATTCATTAGATTCAAATTAGGCATGATGAACAGCCGAGAAAATGCCACGACTTTGGGAGCTGAGTTCAAAAAAAGTGAAAAAGATATATTACTTAGAATTTTAACAAATAAAAAGAAAACCATCCTTCTCTTTGGGACACTTACGGTAGTGAACATAATTTCCGCGTGGTGCCACATGACAGAATCTCGAACGTTAAATTACATCTCGTAACATCAGAGCTTCACAACCACGTGAGACTTCAATCCTGTCATCTGATAATGATTTTATTATCACTGTATGGAACTGTACATGTTGGTTTATGCTGCGTAAGTGTCGGAAATATAGTTGCAGGTATATACTGTAAAATCTCATATTATGATATGAAAAAAATTGAACAAAAATTCATAACACCTTCATGACACAGCATACAAGTTTTTGAACAGAAACTTTCACAACAGCGAACATCCCCGATCAAGATAATAAAATAAACAATAAACTCGACGTAATGAATTTCTTCATTAAAAATGTGTAATACAAAACTAAGTGAAGGAAATATACAAACGCAGCTAAGCCAGAACTTAGTAACACTGTAAACCGAATGGAATTAGGCACAATATTTCATTTAATTCTTGTGGTCTCCAAAATCAGTTATTGGGACATTCGACCGTCACAGGGAGACGACGGTATATTTTTTAATTAAATAAAACAAAATTAAATTCAAATGCAAACTATCAACAATTGCAAGCTAGAACACATCACAACCGCGATTGCAAAAAATATTTGTCTTGTTAGTCTTAAAAAATCGGCAGCTGCTACGCTTGCCGGCCACGCTAAATTACGGAGAAAACTATGTTAGAAAACATAGATATATATATATATACCATAAATATAGAAGCTATTGACTTCATTGAAGGGCAAAAAAAAATTTGTAGAATATAAGAACCTTCGACGATTGAGCTTTAATTACAAAAGAAAGAAACAAAGGCTGCGGTCCAGTAGTGGGAAAAGGCGAAGTACCTCAAGAGAATTGCATTTTTCTGTAAAATTTTAGCTTTCATTTGGAAATCTTCCAATATATCGTGTCTCAACTGATAAGACCTAGAAACACAGAAATATATTCTAAATAATTTGACGGCAGAAAGTTTTTCAGCCCTATGCCGTATTGGCAAATTGATACAAAATCTCTGTATCCTATGGCAACGTACATAAGTATATACTAATAAATAATCTACGGCATCATACCAATCGAACAATAGATCTGACCATCAGTCAGCACTTTGGCACGTTTTAAAGGTTTCTATTGCGGCACAAAACCTATCAATAAATAAGAGATACATTACCTCTGCTGCATTTACAGGAATATTTCAAGTCCTCACCACAATTACATTGTTACATATTTTATGTACTGACTTCGACAACCAATTTAAAAGAAATAAGTATAAGTTTACTGATGAATTACAGGTTTGCGTACAGTTGAATAAATTCAAAATTCAACGAGGGGCCTTCAATCAAGTTTGATTGAACAGACTATGCGTTGGCGGCAATAGGCAAGATGTAAACACAGAAAAAGAGCTTAACTGTTATTTTAGCACAAGCTAATTCTTTCAAACAAGCCATAAAATAAAAACAATGGAAACGCATAAACTAATAGAAAAATTATGACAAAATAGAAAAAAAATGTAAAGACATTCTCTTGAAAACGTTTGACAAGATAATAAAAAAATCTAATTTAACAATACAAGAGTTCTTTGGTTAACTGATAAAAAGTGTTGTGAAAGTGTTAGTGTTGATCAGATGTGTTCTTGTACAACAAGGCAAACAAACTAGTTAATTTTTCATCGTAGCAGAATTTACAGGATTCACTAGTGTCAGTAGCACATGTATGAGTCGCAGCGCTTTCAGAGTTGGCACACCCCAAATAGAAACGGTCAATGAATTTCAAAGAAATTTTACAGTTGAGTTTCAAAAAAATTCATATTCTTTCTCACTTAAGTTAAACAATGAAATTTTGAACGATATTACATAGTAAATTCAGATAATTAGCGCTGTAGATAAAAATTAGCATAAAAATAATAAATATATACAGGAACTAGGTACTTGCTTGTCTTTAATACCACACACAAAAATTGAAAAATCTTTCCTAACACACTAGTGCAAAATAAATAGTATAGGTATATACTCAACTTGTATATTAATACAATTGGGACATAAAATCAGAAAATTTCAAGAATTGAAAACTCACAAAACAAATGGATAACAAGAACAAAGACTCTAAAACTGAACAAGAAAAAAAGTATAAAAAAAATTTAAATACCTTTACCAAACTTCGCTTTACCTGTTATTGAGGACAATTTTTCACCATAGGTAGTTCAGGTTTGATAGGTACCACAAAATTCATCACTAGGCAACCACTACCATCAAATGCACAACCATTCAGATTTATTTCAACACGGAATTTACTACCTAAACCATGTCAGCTAGAAATACTCATAAATATATTATACTCAAACTATACATGACTACGCTTTTTTCTAAATTGTATAAGTAACCTTCACTTCAGTACACAGAACGGAAGCCCTGTAATTTCACTTTACCTCTATCAATAAATTTGAACAAAAGCCAAAAGCACAAAATATTTATGACATTTACGTTAACAGCATTGATAATGGTATAAACATGATGAATAAAGCCTCAGACCATATATGTATAAAAATATTAGAATAAGTACAAAAATATTTGTGAAAGATACTAAATATATGATTCTCCATTAACATACATATGATCTTGTGTGTCTTTATTAGCTTTCAAAAGTCTTAGTTTCAAGCTCCAATAATTAGCCTGCTGAGAATAAACATTCATTTGCTTCTCTAGCATTTTCATTCTCATTATATGCTCAGCTTGCTCATACTCAATTCTTTTAGATAACAGCCTAGCATGGAGCTCTTTACATTGGATATCATCATTAGCATCATATGATGAAAAAGATATTTCTTCTTGGTCCAGTCTAGGAGGCAAATTCAGGTTTTTACTCCTAAACTTTCTTGAAGTTCCAATCTTGTTATTAATTTTTTTTAATGAAGGCATTGCTTTTAGAACTGGTGATGCGTTAGATGTTTGAGAAGTGATGGTCATGCCAGAACCTAAATTAAATGTAGTAGGCAACCCTTTAGATGATGGGATCCTAGTAACAGAAACTCCTGGAGGTATAATTTTAGGTAGTATGTCAGCTGCTAGAATGGCATGAGTGTTGAAACCATTCAAGTTTACATCTCTGCTTTTAGCAGCACTTGTGGATGATGATATGTCATAATCAGACTCTACCGCAATACAAGGTTCATTATCACCTCTATAGCTTAATTCAGCGGTATTTTCTTTGACTCCATTGACTTTAGCAGAAATATTATTGCCTAGAAGAAGACTTGATAGCTTGGGGGCGTCACTGCGAGCCTTCTTGGAAACTGGCTGTGAAGGGTCAGATTCTTCTCCAGAAGATGTCAGAACTCCATCTGAAAAATGAAACATTTGTAGTAAAATTCTTTAGCTCTAAACTAGTATTTCAACACATAATGAGACAAATAATAATTAAAGCTGTAACAAGTAATTTATTGAGATGGCCTTTAATTTCAATAAATTAATGAGAAATACAATGGAAACCTGAATATTAATAAGGTTTAAAAACTGATATTAAAAGGTTCATATACATGGGACAATAAATCTAGAGCAATACACAAATTATTAAGCAAGACATGCTCACCTGAGCTGCATAGGCTGACAGAAGGATTCACGACACCAACTGAAACGCCTGATCCGACATCAAGAGAATTGATAACTTCAGAATCATTTATGGTGTTTAAATCCCCATGTGCACTGCCGGTTAACATTTGATAGTAGCCTTCCTCCACGGATTTTTGTTGCAATTCTTTTTCAGCTTGTCTAGCTCGATACTTCATGTTATCCCAGCATTTACGAAGCTCTTTAACTGTTCTTGGCTGCATATTGGGCTTTTCATTATATTCAAGCACTATCTTCTCCCAAGCATTTTGCTTTTCCAGAAATGTGTCACGTGATCTACTTCTTGTATCAACAATTTCATGGTAATTTAACACAATATCTTTCAATATGGCACGTTCAGAATCGGTGAAAATGTTCCTATGAGTTAAAACGCCGTTGCTCTTCACTTTGAGGACGGGAGTAGACACATCCTTGGTGACAGTCGTTATGACTTCAAGAGGCAACTCTCCCGCGTAATCGAAGCCATCTTCTTCACTCTCATGATTGCTTCCACTCGGTGTTGGAACGTTGCCATAATAAGGCATATCACAGTGATCTGATTGATTATCATTATCAATTTCAGTATCTGTCTTCAACTCAATATCGGCCATTATGTTATAGTAGATATAGGATGCACGTCAAGTTAATGATTATTGGAAGTAGACCGTAAACACATCACAAACCACGAAGGCTTGAGTTTCTTCATCTCGAAGTTCGAACGAATCATAGAAAGTTAAACTTAGATTTATAACCATTTTGTAGGCAGATAACTAACAATAACCAGATAAATAAGTAGTTACCAACAACTCGCAATCATAAATAATGAAAAAATTGTGTTAGTTGAGAACACACTTCCGAATTCCGATTGAATGAACGTTATCCCGAGCAGTCGACAGTAAAAGTGCCAAGGTGCAGTGAAAGGGAGCTCGACTTGGGAAAGTTATCATTGGTCGAGGACGAGCTCTGACTCTGAGTGGGAGTATGCGACTGCTCATTGGCTATAACTTGAGATGTTTTTACTAATTGTTCTTTACTTACCTTAGACACGGTCCAAGCCTGTACACACTGACTTCCAAAATGCATGCCACAAGCTAACTAAAGCATTGACACGAAACACCGCCTCAACTGACGAACACATGAATGAATTAGAAGAATGGCGAAACTTAACGGGAAACTGCAATCAGCAACAAAGAAAACTTTTTACACGGAAACTAAAGAATTTTATTTCATCACAGTGCCTCGAATGCTCGATTGAATTCAACCATGCGAATACTTTCACTCAATATTAAAATAGTGATCGGCTTGGCAACTTATTACAGGAAACATTCGTTTTAGGGAAAGGTTCAAATTTAAAATTCATAAATAATTAATAATTTTTTCTCCTTTACAACACATAAATGTTATAATTCACTCGTAAACATAAATCGCATTTAACTTTACCCATGCTGTCTCGCAAAAACGTGAGTGACTATTCCCGCTAAAAAAATTTATCGATGATGACCTTTAATTGGATTTGGATTCAACAGTATTCCCCCTACTAGGTTAGGTTAGGTTAATCGATACACGTGTGAGATTTGATTTCGTTGTATTTGGAGTTGGTGCGGTCGAAATTATTTTTGATATTTGGTAGCCCACTATTTATTTGTGAGTTCTAAATTTTTTATTGTAGCGCGTTTTCGTAGATAGTTTACCGCATGGTTGAACTATATAAGGTTGACCCACGAGAAGTTCCGTGGTTTACCGCACCTTGCTCTTATTTCCAGTCGAAATCGAATTTCACGATGGCAAAATTTTAACGTCGCAAGCGACAAAATAAATAATAAATTCGATGGTCAACTTTTGGGAAACTTGAAGTTTTGAGTGAAATAAAGAAAATAATCAGTGTAAATCCATTTTGTATCCTTGGCGACTGACTAATTATTATATCAAGATCTTTTTGAGTCAGATCAAAGCAGAAGAGTTTCAACTCGTGAACACAGGCGTTGCGAACTGAGGTCGCGTAGATCCTGCTTAGAAATTCAAGATTCAACACATGAGCATTCAACTGACGAAAGCAGAATAAAATTGGGACGAAGAACCTTCGGAGTCAGTTTAATTTGGATACTGAAGTTTAGGATGGATCGCTTTATTACAACAAGACAAAACGCGGAAGCTACACAAAACCAAGGACTGCCAGTGTTTCACGCTGGTGCTTGTTGCGGTCTCGAACTCGCAACTCACTGATTCAAATTCTACTGCGCTTCACCGCCCGGCCTCCTTGCCGATTCTGACCTGAAACTGTCGCACAGTGCTGGGATCGAACCCGCGTCTCTCTTGATACAACGAACTTTAACCACTGGGCCACCCTATAGCCCATATGGGCCACATTATAAAATTAGTGATTTGAAAGATGATTTCAGAAAATTGGTAAATCAGACAAATGTTTGTGGAGGTTGAAGAACGTAAAAACGCTTGTAACTCAGTAGTAAGGTAAAGAAAAGCCACATACATCAGTGTTTTATTTTCACAGTGTTTTAAGGTACATGTGATAAGCTTCCATAGTGGACTTGGCTAGTGAAGATACAAAATCGGCATCGGGGAGTGTGGCAAGCAACTCAGGGCTCACGTAGCGTGGAAGAGTTGGGTTGTACTGAGCTCGATCCAGAGATCTGCAATGCAAGTGTGGATGTGAAATATGTCGTGGCTCTAGTCTGACACAATAAATTGCAGTTTCAAGTAATAATAATAATAGCGAATTCAGCGTTTATGAGGCCGTAGGCCTGTCGCCGATTGTCAACATAGCAGAATATCCACAGCTTGTTGCGGTCTCGAACGCGCAACTCACTGATTCAATTTTGCTTTTACTTAACCGCCCGGCCTCCTCGCCGATTCTGACCTGAAACTGGCGCACAGAGCTGGGATCGAACCCGCGCCTCTCTGTTCCAATCCTGGTACTCTGAACTTTAACAATTATATAAAATAGCGATTTCAGCGTTTATTAGGCCGTAGGCCTGTCGCCGATTCTTAACATTGCAGAATATCCACAGCTTGTTGCGGTCTCGAACGCGCAACTCACTGATTCAATTTTGCTTTTACTTTACCGCCCGGCCTCCTCGCCGATTCTGACCTGAAAATGGCGCACAGAGCTGGGATCAAACCCGCGCCTCTCTGTTCCAATCTTGGCACTCTGAACTTTAACCACTGGGTTAAAGTTCATCAATCTACCTTTTGACTAGAGCACAACTGATACTCATTCTTCTAGCCAAGTGACTTCTGTTGTATGCGCTAGTAAATCAAAGGCTGCTACACGGACAAAAACATATCAAGTGTAATGATCGAAAGGGGGAGTATCACAAGTTAGGTTGGTAGACTTTTTAATCATCAAAGTTACTGACACTTCGAATTTCCGACTAAGACCAACTAATTAGTGACTGGTAAGTAAGTAGATAAGAGCAGCGTAGCAAAAGAAAGAATCGGTATGTGGAATTCAATTTCAAAACTATTGAGGGAAATTAAATCAAAACATAGATGCATCAAAAAAGGCTTACTTGAGAAAGAAATGCCGGTTATCAAGGATGTGAAGTCTGCACGTCAGAATTTTATTGCACTTTACGATCATATCCACTGGGATCAGCATTTTCTTGGTGATTAATCTCAGTTTGTCTGTAGTCTGATAAGCGCCTGAAAAAATACGCAAAAACATTTTATAAATAAGCAGCTCCGATGGGTGACACTTTCCAAACAAATAGCATTTAATTCAATGTAATGAACAACAGGGAATGAAAAAATTAAATAAACACAAGCAATATACAGAAAAAATATGCAAACTGAAAGATAGATCACTAAACAATTCAAGTAGAATGAGAAAAGCTTTTACGTAGAAAGTTGTTAAACCAGGTGATATATTGTCTATGTTAGTTTTCAATCATGGGTCCACGACTCAAGTCTTTACTCTTTAAGGCACATCAGCCAGATAAAAAAAAATGCAGAAAGCTCTGCTAACACAAATTACATGGATAAAATAGTTAACCCTCTTTGAACAATTATTTTTTTTAATTAAACAAGAGTACCTACTGACAAGGAGAATATAACTGTTGCTTGATAAGAGGCTCTATGATAAAAATAATTGACATTGTTACGCCATGCAAGTTGAAAGATGAATTTTCGTACATAAATGATAGATGCGGGGATTTTCAACCAGAAGCTGCGCTCGCTGTTCTCTTGAAAAGCCGAATTCATCACTCAGGATGTACTTCACTCGCTGTAGATTATAAGCAAACAATCAAGTTTATATTAAGTCTTAGCTAATGTATTTAGGAAGTTAAAATTACATCGATTATTGGACTGATTCACAATGTAAACACATAAAATTCATGAAGAATATAGAGCAACAGTCAAAAGGAGAACTATTATTTGAAGTTTTCTAATGACACTAACCAACATAATCTTCAATACTAAATTTTACATTTTTCAAACATTTATATTAGATGCCAAATGTTTGGGTACAAAAAATAAATCAACAAATTATCAAGTTTACTAAGACATTATCATTATTATTTTATATGCCAATCCTTGCAGTCCTAACTAAAGGAACAGGATACAAGATATACGAAAATAAAGAAAAAATATAGTAACGCAGTACTCACTGCAGTGAGTGACAGTGCAGTGGCATTTTCTCGTTGACGAAAACGTGAAGTCACGGACAGACAGACAGACGGACGGACATGGCGAGCACAATAGTGCATTTTTCCACAAATGAGAAAATGCGCTAAAAATGATAAAAAATGTGGATATCCTTTAAATTAAATGATATCTATATTAGTGATAGAATAGAATAGAAATGTCGGCACTGAAGAAATAGGCCCATGGCCTGTTGCCAAAATAGTTTCATTCAATTTCATTCATTCAACATTCAATCAATTGGCTAGGCTTAAGTACCCTGACTTTCATTTGATTATAGAAGACAATTCTGGCTAGGCTCACGTACCCTGGGTAATTTGATTATAGAAAACAATTCTGGCTAGGCTCACGTACCCTGGGTCCCTGACTTTCATTTGATTATAGAAGACAATTCTGGCTAGGCTTACATACCCTGACTTTCATTTGATTATAGAAGACAATTCTGGGCAGCCTCGTTGCTACTGCGCGAACCTGAGCGCCAGAAAGATGAAATTCTTTTTGAAGGAAACCCAACTTGCTGTCAATACTCTCGATTCTGAAAAATAAATTAGAGTTTATATTAGAGTTTATTATTATATAAATCAATTACAATATACAGATGAACAAAATCATCTGAATGATTAGCATTAGAAAATATTTTTTCAAAATTAATAACAACAGATAGTAATTTGATAGTTTTTGGAGAAGAAAACATCAGCAATTAGATAAAGTAAATGAAAGTTTAACTAAACAAATCAGGCAAACAATATATACCTCCAGATATTTAATTGACATTAAATTTCTCGGAACAAGCTTTATTAGATCAAGATGCTGTTGCTTTAAAATCAAATGCAAAATATTATAGATTAGTTTAATTACATAGTTTACATAAATTATACTCCAGGTGATCTTTTTGATATGTAACTATATTTTGCTGACATCTTTACACTCACGAATGGGATAACCAAATTGGAAATGCTGCAACAGTTGCTATAGATTGTGGTGTGAACTTCTTGGCTACTAAGTACTGGATTCTAGAGTGAAGAACGTCCAGGTCTTCTTTGAGAAGATAGGGATTAATGGTGAGAATTCGAGCCCATTTCTCCACTGGCACACCCACTTGATGAAGAAAACTGAAAATAAAGTTCAGTTCATTGCAGTGAAAAGATGTTTCAAATAGTGCTGTGAAAGGTTGCCACGACACAATTTTGTTGGCTCAGCAACATATATGTAGCAAACATCAACAGTAAACTAAATACATAACTGAAGCCAATTTCAATATAAAAATTACATGATGCAAAAATTCTACCAGGTTTTGCCTTAGAGTGAAGATAGAAAGGTTTGGTGTCTTCTGGAAAGTATGTACCTAAGCTTAATTAATGCAAGATTAACACCCAATTTTTCAATTAAAATATCTTGTTGCAAAAATTCCATCTGGCTTTGCTTCCACCAACTGACAATAGATGTGGTTCTAGGTCCATCTCAATGTAAACCAATCAAATTATTTTTACTTATTTTCAAAATGAAAAAAATATGCTGCAAAAAGTCAAACTTGCATCCAACCCACAACAGATGAGGTTTGATGTCCTTTTAATCAAATGATAGCTACCTACTTATTTTCATAATGAAAATAATATGCTGCAAAAAGTCAAACTTGCATCCAACCCACAATAGATGAGGTTTGATGTCCTTTTCAAAGTCCAGAAGAAGAACATAAGAGGCTTTCTCAGTATCTTCATCATATTTGCTGATGTTGACACCAAGCTTGATGAGCTCCTGCAGAGTTTTTGATCTGAAAATATAAATGCGTAAAGTTTCTATCATAAATACTTCAATAGTAAAGCTTAAATAAAAAGAATAAGTGACTTTATTAATAGTTAACCTTTATCAGCTATTGATTTAAAGTAACATTCAAACCACAATTGGACAATTTTTGCTGCTATATATAATATAGTGATACCTTGGTGGTTTTTGCCATGCATTCTAGATAATCAGAAAATAAATGCATTTAAATGTTTTAAAATGGTCTTGATAGTTTGGTAACATAAGCAATTGTTGTTTAATGTAAGTTAGGGCTCCTCTACATCATTGGTACCAGTATACATATAGTACAATAAAGGAGGTTATAATAAAACCATAATAAAATTTATAATCAGAAGTGTTCAATAATTTTCCTATGATTTTGCATATATTACTTATATTTATTGAAAAAAAATTGTGAGTGCATTTAACATTGGACTTACCTGTTAACATAAGTGACAATGTTGAATGATTGAGGAACATTGGGAAGAATTCTATCCAGCACAGCAAGCTTCTAATAATATGCTGCAAAAAGTCAAACTTGCATCCAACCCACAATAGATGAGGTTTGATGTCCTTTTCAAAGTCCAGAAGAAGAACATAAGAGGCTTTCTCAGTATCTTCATCATATTTGCTGATGTTGACACCAAGCTTGATGAGCTCCTGCAGAGTTTTTGATCTGAAAATATAAATGCGTAAAGTTTCTATCATAAATACTTCAATAGTAAAGCTTAAATAAAAAGAATAAGTGATCTTTATTAATAGTTAACCTTTATCAGCTATTGTTTTTTAGAGAAAGTACCGGTAACATTCAAACCACAATTGGACTCTTTTTGCTGCTATATATAGTGATACTTTGGTGGTTTTTGCTATTAATTCTAGATAATCAGAAAATAAATGCATTTATATGTTTTAAAATGGTCATGATAGTTTGGTAACACATGCAAATTTTGTTTAATGTAAGTTAGGGCTCCTCTACATCATTGGTACCAGTATACATATAGTACAATAAAGGAGGTTATAATAAAACCATAATAAAATTTATAATCAGAAGTGTTCAATAATTTTCCTATGATTTTGCATATATTACTTATATTTATTGAAAAAAAATTGTGAGTGCATTTAACATTGGACTTACCTGTTAACATAAGTGACAATGTTGAATGATTGAGGAACATTGGGAAGAATTCTATCCAGCACAGCAAGCTTCTCAGTAGGAGTCAGTGCAGATTCAACAATGTTATCTTTGCTGACTGACTGATTGTTGGATTGCTCAAAGGCAATTAAACTATTACTGTTATTCTCTGAAGCAATTCCATCATGAGGTGAACTGTAGTTTCTAGCAACAGTATGTGCACAATAGTGCCTCACACAGGTTTGTTGTCTATGTGGACTATAGAAATTTTTCAACTTGGCTGACAAAAAGGATTCTTGCACATTTTTAGGGGATGATTGTCTCAGTAAATTACAAAGCATGAAGGAACATTTCTCTATTGATCTAGCTGCTTTTACTTGAATGAGCATTTTTCAGGTATATAACAAATATTGTTTCATGTAAATTAGCTGAAAAATCTGAAATTTTTTAAATTAAAGTTAATACTTCAAGCTCCTTTATCTTTTTATTTTTTTATGCACTTTAAATTGACTATTCTTACACATTCAAGTGTAATCAAAACATTTTGGATGCAAATTTTATAAGGGAAGCTTGGTTAGCTACCCAAATGTGGTCAAAAAAAGCACAATATCAAATTTGATAGCCTGCTGCCCATTTTCAATTTTTTAACCACTTGGCCACCAGCCAACTACCATCAGTCCAATTCCAATTAAGAATATTAGGCAGAAATTTCCAAAAATCCCAGGTAAAAATAATTTCTTCTTATGTAATTTTAAAAAATTGCATGCGAAAATACAGTTTTTCTATTTTTCTTCAAAGAAACTGTGAAAATGCCATAGGAATGAATAAAATTGGCTAGATTTAATGGCTTTTTTGTCTGATTCATGGGTGGCTTTGTCCTATTTTTACAGTCAGGCCATCAATGTTGCTGGCCTTCAAAAGAAACAATTTATTTTGTTAAAAAAACTGAGGCATAAGTTTCAAGCAAAAGCAAAAAATATTCTTGGTTATTATAGAATAAAAGTGTCAGCATTGAAGAAATAGGCCCATGATTTACAAGGCAATTAAACTCAACAAACTGTATTCTGCCCATCATTATACAGATTTTAGTAACAAGGTGGCGTATCTGCAAAGCTGTAGAAGCGGTTTTGTGGCAATGTGGAATATCTGTGGCAGCTTTTGTGGCATTGACAGTTGTCAATTTTTACCAGAATTTGCATACCTGGTTGCTGGAATAGAATATACTAACCATTCAACCTGCAACCATTGATATTAACCAATTGTTGATAAAACTGAACAATCTGGCAAATTTCAATTCAAATTCTCTGGCATTTCAAATGCATTAAAAATTGGTCACTTACTATGGAGCCACAGGATTTCATTTGTAAAATGGAAAATTCCAATCTAGCCTGAATAAATTCTTTAAATCGCTAACTTATGCTATGGTTTGTATTCTGGTAATTAAGCATTGCTTGTTTGCTGCCAAAACTTGGTTTTAAGGTGCAAAATGCTATCAGTATTAGAGCTATTATTGAGGACAGGGTCAAATATGAGAGGCTAAATACATGAATAACTCGTACATAGATAATCATATTTATAGAAGAGACATTAGAATTAGCCTCCCCTCAGCAGGCTCAACTTAGCCTCCAACTTCTAAGCTAAAATTGACTCAATTAGACACAGCCAAACTTGGCCTTTTCATAGGATATTTACCATGCTGAAGCTCAGCCTCAGCAGACAGCAGGTTTTGTCCAAGGCAAAATATTACTGCCATTATTGCCATAGTGTCAAAGGAGAATAGATGTTGGTGCCCCCTACTCAAGTTCATTTTTGAGTCCTATAACATATAAGTAGACTAGTAAGTATCTTAGAAACCAGCATTAGCAAAATTTATCATATATGAGAAATTGATTAAAATATTGAGTAGGTGAGGAAATGACAAATGAACAGATTCTGAAAAATTTCCAGTCTACCACTATCATCACACTATGATTACTGTTATCCATTTCTTTTGAGGAATATCTCTCCAACCATGAGCAGAGATTTTGAGCAACTCCAGCTTGGCTAGGCCAAGGTAACTAACCCAGAAATTGGAAGATTCTACTGCTCTTTGGTAGTCTACTGCCTGAGCCCTCTGGTAAGTGCCCTCTTACCAAATACCAACTAGACTAAGCAAGGTGATGTGTGAAAACTAATAATATGTGCTTAGAAAGTACTTTTTAAAGACCACACTTCTGAGGCCGGTGTTTCCAATGTTACATATGTACAATGAATTTCTTATTTTACTTCTATATTAAAAGTAACTTTTTCTTCAATTTTTTCACCTATTTTTTGTTTTGTTTTTTGTCAATTGAGTCATGCATTGTCTCCAACTTTATGCCAATGTGCAAAATTTCAGATTGATTGAACATGTAGAAGTGTGTTAAGGGGATGACTGGCTTGGTTCTAGAAAAGCTTCTACATTTATCTACCGATCTTTGTGAAATTTCACACGCATAAGTAAAACATAAAAATAAAAACATTTTTCTCATTTTTCTCAAGTTTTAGGGAAAATAAAAGAAAATATGAAATTAATAGAAAATATTTAAAAAGGGGGTACTTTAAAAATGTTAAAATGTTATAACTTTTGCAATCTATGTGCTACAATATCAAGACACATTCCATTCAATTAGTAACATAATTATCTAGTGGCTCATGAATTGATTTTTTATTTTCTCCACCATTTTTAGCACATTTTCTCATTTATGGAAAAAATGCACTATTGTGCTCGCCATGCCTGTCTGTCTGTCTGTCCGTCCGTCTGTCCGTGACCTCAAGTTTTTGTCAACGAGAAAATGCGCTCTCTGTCACTCACTGCCTTGAGTATTGAGTTTTATTTTTTTTCTTATGCACGTTTTTCCATTTTTCCACATTTTTCCCTGTCCCACCCCACTCTCCCCATATAAAGGGCAAACCATGCATGATGCACAAATGCTAAAAAAAATGCTTCTAGAGTCACTAGGTATGGTTTTTAAAAACCAAATGATATGTCTTTCAATGCAGTAGCTTGAATACTGTAGGAGTGGTAACACCTTTAAAGTGGAAAAAATGAAAATTCAAATTTTCGGGAAACCCAAAAAACTGAAAAGGTGTAAAGAAGGAGATTTTATCTGTGCACCTATTGTGGAATTCGCACTGTGGAATTCTAGAGGGATATTAAATTAACCAGTACACATAGCATATTGAAAAGCAGGACCTGAAAGCTTGGAAAGGCCAGGAACTTTCCACTTCCAGTCCATTATATACATATCCTATCCCTTTCCAGCTGTAATTGGTTTATGGGATTGTGATTTTAGCCCCTTTTGAGCTTTCCAGCTGTGATTGGTTGTGCCCATAAGCCCCACCCCCAAATATGGTTTATGTGCTACAGTAATGGTTAACTATTAATTTAATATTATTAATATTAATAATTAATATTTTCAATATTAATACCTACTAAACAATTTTCAAATTAATTGTCAGAAATGCATTATACCAGTGGTTCCTAACCCATGGTCCGCAGCCAGGTACTGGGCCGTGGACCAAATGATACTGGGCCACGCTGCCTGCTTAAAAGGCAAATATATTTTTTTTGAATCGTCAATTATATATAGCTTAAAATAATTATTCCATTAAAAACCATTTCACGCAAAGTTACCATTATCTACATAATACCTTCAAAGTAAAATGACCCCAGACTGCCATAAGCCCATAATATGTGCTGAATGTGCAGTCATTTTTTGTCAAACTGGTCGCTCCTGGCTCCTTGACTCCAAAGGTGGTCTTGCGCTCTTGCCATAAGTTAAGGGGAGCGTCTACCCTAAAAATTATCTCGGCTATTTACAGTCGGATCACTCTGAAACTTGGTACACATATGTAAAATGGAAAAAAACTCGCATTTTGTTCGTGTAAATTTTTCGAAAAAAAGGAAAGAAAACGTGAAATTCTTAGAAAACGGCTATAAAAGGGGGTACTGTAGAAATGGATCTAGTCCTAGGATTTCCAAGCTACAACATTGAGAC